CAAAAAATAATATTAAAAAGTGTAGGAAATGGCGTATCTTGAAATGGGGATCCTCTTTGAAGGGTAAAAACTCTTTCAATTTTATATCTTACAGGGTTTATACTGAATTCAATATTGTATGACTGTATTAATTCAACTGTGAACCTAAAAACTTACAGCCAATTTTGAAAGAGATGCATCTTTGCTCTGGAGGCATAGCACTACATGTAGGCAACACAAGTATACACATAAAATGTGGTTATTAAATATTTTTTAAAAACCAAAAAAAAATTCTTCAAAGCATGAAAAATATTATTCAGTGAATTTTGACTTGGGATTAGGACTGAATTTATGAAATGGTGCTAAATAAACTTCTGCCATTTGAGGCTACATATTTATGAGAAGCAACATTCTCAGAATTGAGAATTACAAATCAAAATGTTGATCAACTCTGAAAAATGTTAAATATACATTATATCCTAAAGTATCAAATATTCAGCCATGATTTAATTTGCCATGTAAAACTAAACAAGCATCCATTTCATTAATATGTGAATTTGCTTTTATCATTATTAAATAGTTATAGGTATACATACCTAAGAATTGTTTTAAAATAAATTTATGATTTATGATCAGTAAATATTTGTATAACTATAAACTATATACCAGTGTGTAAAATTTCTTAAGTAAAAAGTGGTTACAAGTGGAAAACATTCACAAAGCTCTGGTTCTATACCAGCAGTTCTCAAACTTGAACACGCACCATCCAAATCCCAAGAGCAGTTTGTTACAACACACACTGCTGGGTGAACAAGATGCTCAGCTGGTAAAGGTGCTTGCCACCAAGCCCAAGAACCTGAGTTTGGCTTCTAGGACCCACATAATGGAAGGAGAGGACTGACTCCACAAAGCTGTCCTCTTACCTCCACATATGCATTATGGGCCGAGCATGCCCCCCACCCCCCCTCCGCCCCATGCAATAAAGAAATAAAACAATACTTACCAAAGCCATCAATATCTAGATTATTTTCAATCACAACATCTAGCAGAGAGTCACCAACTTTCCCCTTGGCTGTTAGTGTTTCACCATCTTGGTTCTTAAAGTGGACTGTTATTTTATCTTCTGAGCTGGAAAAAGAAGCAGATGCTTAGTAATTTTAGGGATCTCAAACCATAACCTAAGGGCTGGTGAGATGGTTCAGTAGGATACAAGGCGCTTGCCTAGCAAGCTTGGTGACCTGAGTGTGATGCCTGGAACCTGGGTAAAGGTGGGGAGAACCAACGTGAAGAAGTTATCCTCTGATCGCCACACGTGCACCAGGTGGCACCCCACCCACATCACTCACATACACATACATTTTTAAATTTTTATTTATTTTATGTGTATGAGTACATTGTCTGCATGTAGGTAAGTGCACCCATGTTGTGCAATGCCTGCAGAGGACAGAAGAGGCTGTCGGAACCCCCGGAACTGAAGTTACAGACATTTGTTAGCTGCCATGTGGGTGCTGGGACTCAAATGTGGGTCTTCTGCCAGAACAGTAAGTTTTAGTCATAACTTAAAATAATTATTTTAACCTGCATGTTGTAAGAATAAGACAGAACAAATCAAAGGCCAGCTATCTATCCCTACCCACCAGATGGCAAGCTCTGTCACTTTAAGGGAAATGAAAAGGACTTCCTGGGCGTAGCAACCAGTGGGATTGCAGTGTGTCTCCCCACCAGTCACAGATCTATGAAAACATTTAGCACTCATTACCACTCATGAAGTCTACTGGGGGTTTTGTGGTGTGGTGGTGGTGATTTAGGTTTCATTTTGGTGCTGGGGATTAAATCTAGACCCTCATACATGTTAAGCAAATATTGTACCACTGATCTACAGCCTCAGTTCATAGATCTGAGCCTTATTTTGTTTTCACAAGCTCCTGAAAACCAATGTCTCTATGACCATGGCCCTAAGAGAAAAGGTTGTCTGTGGCCAGCTTTCCCAAAACAATCATCCTGCTGCCCACTGGGCGACTGCTGTGTGTCTGATAAGGGCCAGGAAGGGTCTGTCACTGAGAGGCAACAGTTTTGCATGTTTCTGAGTATCTGAACATTTCATTTCAGTCCACCTTATACATTCATAATAATCAGCAGAACAGAACCTTGGAAAGATGAAAATCTCTGCTGGTGCTTTTGCTATACCATCAGCTACGTAACTTAAAGGACTTTACTTTCTCACAAACATCTCTAAGACTTGGGAAAACAAATTAAGCTAGCACCCAGATCCTCACCCTCCATACTAGCACTTACAGGATGTATTTCAACTTAGAATAACGAGCTGTAATTTTTACCACTACCAATAGATAATTGTAGTCAACAACTGCCCCACCTCCCCTGCAAGCAAGCTTTAGAAAAAAACCTAGAATCAAGTAATTTCAGAGGCAGAAATATCTTTAACATGATCAGATCCAATTATCTCATTTTGCAAGAGTCAAATGAAGCGCCCCTAAGTGGAAAATGCTCTGATACTACAGCAACCCCAAAAGATCACTCTGATGAGACCATAAATGAAAATGTGCTTTAAAAAAAATCTATGAAAATGTCATTATAAAACTCACTTGGTTCAAGGAATATACTTCGTTTTCTTTAAAAACAAAGTTAGACACATCAATATAAGCTATCAAAATGGGGGGTGGGGGGGAATGGCTCAGCAGGTAAAGTCATTTGCTGCTAAGCCTGATGACCTGAGTTTCATCCCTGAGAACCACACTGTGGAAGGAAAGAACCAATTTCCATTCTGTGTGTCACACACACACACACACACACACACACACACACAGTGCGTGTGTGCATGTTTGTCCCCCAAAAAAGCCTATGGCTCCTCACATTTCATGAAAAATACGCTTTAAAAACAAGTATTTGACTTGCTGAACACCTGCTGTGGGTGGGGCCCAGGGCTCAATTCTGAGAACTGCCAAAAAGACAGGCAGGCAGGCAGGCAGGAAGAAGAGATTCCTTCCAGGGCTCCAGAGACAAAATCAGTGAAACACTTTTTGATGCCTCATTCCCAGGAAGCCATAAAACAAGTAATCCCAGCACTCAGGAGGCAGAGGCAGGCGGATCTCTATGAGTTCAAGGCCAGCCTGGTCTACATAGTGAGTTCCAGGACAGCTGGGGCTACGGGGAGACCCTGCTTCAAAAAGACAAAAAAAAAAAAAAACAAGTATTCTTAAACAGGAATTGTGACTCTAAACTACCCAACAGCTTTTTCTCTCAAGGTAAAACAGCTGAGAATGAAGACAGCCCAGAGGCAAGGAGATGTTCATAAAACCACAAATTAAACGAGATGTAGGGGACAATGCCTTAAAAGCTGGTCACGTAGTCGATGGAGGGTCTGGGAGACCATTCATAGTCTATCAAGAGAGAGGGAAGAAATGCTGACACCGTCAGCTTGGCCAGCTAGGTGGTACAGTTAGTCACCCGGGTTAAGAGAGAAGGCACCTGGGGGAAGACGAGACAGCTCAGGTTTAAAGCTTGTTTAGTTTAATAATGGCAAAAGCAGATGCAGCAGTTCCAAAGTCACATGGCAGCAGGAACCAAAGCCCAGTTGAGAAGTCTAGAGAGATTCAGCCATGTACAAATGCCTGGGAGCTAAAGCTACAGTAAATGCAACAGGTAATAGCCCATCATTTATGAAATTACTGAAAGCCAGAGGTCTTTAGGACTGCTGTTCTAGAGCACATGACCGCTGAACTCACAACACAGGAATCTCAAATCTCTTTAATATCAGTCTCCTGTAAAATCAGAGTGACATTTATATACTTTTGACAATGTACAAAATACCCAACACACAATAGAATTCAAACACTAATTAGTAACTTTTATTTAAAGCCCAAGCCCAAACGCTTTTGTTAAGAACCTAACCTGCTGTTAAGTGTTAATGGTACGCAGCCTTATTATATGCTAAGATTATTAGCTGATTTACTGAAGGACACAATGGAAAGCACAAATGAGACAGAAAAGGAAATTCTGCAGGTGAAGAGCACAGATCCTTAGAGTCAGGAGGTATAGCTTCTGGTCTTGTTTCTAATATGCATTAAGGGTGTTTCCATGGAAAGAGAACAGTCAAAAGAACAGTGATTTTACCAAGCTTCTCATTAAAGTATTAAATTGATTGTTTTAAAAATATTTATTATTTTTATTTTGTGTGCATGAGTGTGTTGCCTGAATGTATGTAAGTGTTGTACGATGCCCACAAATGTCAGAAAAGAGTGTCAGATCCCCTGGAACTGGAGTTATGGATGGTTGTTAGCCATCAAGTGGGTGCTGGGGACCACACTAGGGTCCTCTGCAACAGCAGCCAGTCTCTCTAGCCCCCTAAATTGATTTTTTTGACAGAATCTTATGCATATCCTAGGGCACCTTCCAACACTCCGTGTAATGAGGTAAACTTCTGAACCTCCTGCCTCTACCTCCCAAGTGCCAGTATTACAGGTGTGTGCCACCACACCCAACAAATCTGGTGTTAGGAATCAAACCCAGGTCTTCACACTAGACAAGCACACTAGCAACTGAGTTATCTCCAGCCTAGGATTAAATTGATTTTAATTTAAAGAATTAGGAGAAACAGTCAAGAGAGAAAGTTTATAGAAATACTTTATTTCTTAAAACATTATACACATGTACTTGACCCAAGTAGTTCTGTCTGTTCACTCTTAAGGATGGTGTTGGTCAACTATCTGGATCCCCACTCCCCAATTCTACAACTAGGTAAGATTTTATATGCTCAAAAAGATGCCATTCTTCTAACCCTTCTTCTTCAACAATTCACCAGTCATCAGGGCAAACAACTATTTTATCTATCATACTTTCCCACTGTCACCATTTAACTCTTCCACTTCCTGTGCTGGACCCCAGCAGACATCTCAACAAGACTGTCAGGGGCTGAATCTACAGGTCTCAGCAGGTTTAATGGAGGAAAGAGCAGCTGCTGTGACCCTTTCTCTACACGACCTGGGACACTAGCCAGAGAACAGGCCAGTCACGTCTGCTCTCCTAAATGACTCATGGAAGTATGAACTCAAGGGTAAGCACAGTAGCACAAGGGCAGACCACATGCCTGACAGGAAACAGGCCTCAGGGTACATCCCCAGCATTAATTCCATAAAGAAAAAGACCGTCAACTAGTATACTGTACAGAATCTATTCAAGGTCCAGGCTTGGTTTTGCCAGCTACTTAATAAAACTATTACTCCTACTCTCCGACTTCTCCCCAGTCACTGAAGTGTCTTATGAGCACAATAAAACAATATGTGAAAGCCCTTTGTAAGCTGAATCACTGCAAAATACAGCGTGTCAAGGTATTTGGGGATAAAAGGAGCTTTTCGACATCCACTTACTGAAAGCTTATCTCAATGTAAACTTCAAACTCAGTTTCTAGAACTGTTGTCTGATTCAACTTTGTCCTATAACAGGGATGCTCTGTACTTGCAATGACAACCACAGTAAACACGCAGCACATGCAACTACTAAGTACCTGAAATGTGGCTAGTGTAACTGAGAGACTAAGTCTTTAATTTTTATTTTATCTTATTTTTTATTTTCATTGGTTTGGTTTTTTGAGACAGGGTCTCATTATAGCCCCAGCTGGCCTGGAACTTGCTATGTAGACCAGGCTGGCTTCCATCTCATAGAGATCCACCTGCCTCTGCCTCCAAGTGCTGGGATGAAAGGCATGCACCAAACACCCAACCTGCAACTTTAATTTTCTTAAACATCAATAACCACATGTGTCTGGGAGTTACCACACTGAGCACCAAGGGTCTGGCATAATAAGAGCTGAAAAGTCTAAAGCTCTGAAGTCCATGGTGATAAGAACCACAATATCCAAACCCAAATGACAAATTTGTGGGCGACAATCTGCCAAAGCATTTGTAGTCCCTTAAATACTAGTTATATCAATATGTTCAATCTATGTCAAAACTTATACCCAGAAAACAGTCGCCATAGAAATTAAGGCATCCAGGCAGGTCAGTGGGAGGAAACAGCAGAGGAAATAGGGACCATTTGTGTTTTCCCTCATCTTCCTCACACCCGCACAAGAAAAGCTATCGGGACTCATGGGTTCAAGAGAGAGAAGGTGCACAAGTCCCAGTCCCTCTTCATGGTGTTATCAAGAAGCTAGAAGAGACAGCATACAAATCCCACACTCTCTCTCTCCAGTTCTTACTCCCTGACATACTGCATTCTGAGGTCAAGCAGCTGGTAGAGCCGACTAGGAACAGAAGCTCTCTGAAGAAGCTGCATCTGCGCTGAAGATTCCGTAGACTAATTGATCAAACATTCAGGACTGTAGAGAGATGGACTGTGACTGACCCAGAGGCAGCCAAAATTATCTTGGGTTACTTTAATCCCCTTAACAGCCTCGCACTAGCCGGCCATGGTTGGTGCAGGTCTTTAATTCCAGCACTTGGGAGGCAGAGATGAAAGGATCTCTGAGAGTTCAAGGCCAGCCAGGACTACATAGTGAGACCCTAACTCAAACACAAAACAAAAACTCATGTACTATTACCAGCCACTGTATCTGAGCTAACATCTTTATGATCACTAGGTAAAAGTTTTGGAATATATTAACTTAGCAGACTATCAGCTTCCACCAACACTAAAATGTTGTAAGACAGTATTAAAAACCTAACCCACCTGCCTGATAACCCACCAATGTATTTGGCAAATACACTGATGTATGACTTTCTTTTAATCTATGCCAACAAAAGTTTACCTAAGTTTTTCTACAGATGGAATAAACAATTCAGGGCAACCTAACCCTGCCATGGTCACTTTTATTGGGTTCTGAATAAACTCTCTCATATTCCCTTTGGGACAAGAGCTGTGGTTTTGCACTGATACTTTCCTTATAAAAAAATCTCCACCATGTGGCTACACGCTGAAACTGCAAGTAAATTTCATCACTAGTAAATCTAAGGTGACAGTGCCTTTGCAAACAAACATGCCCAATATAAAACTTCAACCCACTTTAGGGGGAAATTTCTCCTCTATCTCAACATTTACAACACTTCTCCATTGTGTGCCCAAGTTTGCTAGGAGGTGGCCATCTACTGAGCCCTCACCTTTAACCAGCTTAAAACTACTTATGTCTCATTTATTCTTCAACTAATAGATGGGCTACAGTGCTTATCCTCGGTCTACAAGAAATGTGGCGGTTAGACTTGTGCCAGTTAAAAGCCCTACGTTCCCATCCCAAGGCAGGCCCTTCGCTAACTAGAAGACAGCACAAATGGCAGGAACATACTGTAGGCGCGTGAGTCCAGGGGGACTGCTACAAGGGCAGGCCTCTGGGGAAGGACAGGCCTCTGGGGAAGACCAGGGGACAGTGTCCAGCCAGGCCCGAGGCGCTGACACCCCCGGAAGGTCACTGCAGGCTGGTGCAAAGTGTCCCAGGAGGATGCAGCGCTGCGGAAGGGGAAGAGGTAACGCCGGGACAGCGTGAGCGGGCGGGGCGGAAGTTGAGGGGACTCGGTCCCAAGCACCCCCGCCGCGGAAGGAGACTCAGCCCCAAGCACCATCACCATCCTCCCCCGCCCCCGAGGGAGGGGCACAGCCCCAAGCACCCCCGCGCCCCACCTGCTCCGCGCGCATGCAGACAGGCTCAGCGGCCGGCTGGGCCCCACGCTGCTTCCGCCCGGGCCTACGTTCCGCCGCAGGCCGGTCGCTCCGGCGCGGGCCCCGGCTAGCAGCAGCCAGCGGCAAGTCGGGCCGTGGAGGGACCCGGGGGCGGAGACGGAGGCGCAGGCGGCGCGCAGGAGCCGGGCGCCCGTGGCGGCCATGGCCTAGTCGGGATCTGCCGGGGCTGCGCTGAAGGCCGGCGCTGCCGAGTCCCGCGAGTCCTGCCGGGCGGGCGACTCTCCGCGTGCGCCCGGCCTGACCTATAAGGAGCCGCCGTGCCGCTCCGCGTTCTCACGCCTCCGGGCTGGTCGCTCCTCAGGGGCGGGGCGAGCGCGGTTGCGGGATCGGGTCCTCCCATCACCTTGAACCTTTGGAGCGGCCGGCTTGGCGCTGGAGACACTTCATTTTTCAAGGATAGTATCCACCAGCTTCAATAGACCACGTTTGTTCCACTCCCTCAAAGCAGAGCAGCTTTCCTTCCACCGTCTTCGAGCTCCAGTTAACTGCAAAAGGGATCCTGGGATTCCAAGCAAGAACAGTAGAGAGTTTACAAAGTTTTAGAGTGCCGATCGACAGTCTAAAGAGAGGCATAGGTCATCACAATAATGAATAATAATTCATGATTCAGAGCTGCTGGATGAGGTAGATAATACTCCTAGGCTCGTTCATGGAGTGCATAAATCCCATGAATTAGGAGTTCAAAAGTGGAAAAAATAATTTTAAACTGCATTCTGTCATGACTGGTATGTTGTGGTCAGAATCTTTGAGATCAGAAATAACAATATTTAAATCCAAGGTCTACCACTTAGGCAGTTGGAGACCTTGGATAAATTCCTCCCGGAGGATCAAGAATTTCCATGACTCACAGATAAGATCTTGCTTCAGGGCCATTCTGGGGGTTAGGGGAACAGATAAGCACAATGAACAGTGCGTCACAATCCATAAGTGATAAATCCATCTTCCTAACCCTTCCTGGTAACTTAAGGTTATAAAGGGCAGAAGTCCATATTGCACATATACTGAACATAGTGAAAGATTTTTAAGAGTATCAAGGGCTTGGAGAGACGGGTCAGCAATTAGGAGCTCTTCCTGCTCTTCCAGAGGGCCCAAATTCTGTTCTCTATACCCTCATTGGGATAGTCACAGCTGCCTCCAACTCCAGTTCCAGGGAATTCAGTGCCCTGTTCTGGCATCCATAGGCAATAGCACACGTGGCATACACTTATACAGACACACATGCACACTTAGAAAAAAATAAAGCTTTTTGAAAAAGAACAAAAATTTATTTTATCACAGTTCTGGATCTGAAGTCCAAAATCAAGATGCCAGCTGTTGGTTTTGTGATCAAGGCCTGGTGTCTGCTTACAAGATCGCACTTAGTTGCAATGTTCTTAAAAGAAAGCGTGGAAGCAAAAAAGCCTGCCTAGTTCTATTAGCCTTTTTATGAAGGTATAATCCCATCCTTGGGGGCAGAGTTCAGCACTTCCTGATAGCCCCACCTCACCCCCTTACTAACTGGAAGTAAGATGGGGCTTTGAACTTTCTAGGCCTGTCCCCTGTGTCCCTTTGGGAGCCACAGCTCCCAAAGATTCCAAGGCCTTTCCCAAACAGGGCCAAGAACTGGGGGCCAAATACTTGGAGTCTACGGGGAACGTTTCCATTCAAACCACCACAATCAGCATTGCTGCATTTCACTGATGAATAAACTGAGGCAGAGTGTATATTAAATGAGGTTTGAGGTATGACTAAAAGAAATAATTTTAGATTATATGTGATTCAGTAGTGTTTGCTCCATGCAAACATAACAGATACGGTATGTATTTTGTGTAACATTGTATAAAATGGATTTATTCACCTTTAGAATAGAATCTATGTTTTTCCATTACTATTTCTTTGAATTTAAAGAAATGCTTCTGCTCAGGGTGGGGCGTTTGAAAGAGAAACAGGGGAAAGAATTATTTATTGAATATGATAAGAAATATTCTCTAACTCTATTGTTCAACTTGTTTCTGCCATTCTGCTCCAGGATATATGTATTTTTTCTTTTAGAGTTTGTGAGTATGTAGTGACTGATTTGAGGTTATTAAAATAAGGCCACATTAGACTGAAACAATAGAGAAAATTTCAGTTACCTAAGCTATCTGAGGTCAGTCTTCAGGAATAGATTACTAATATGTCTGGTTTAAGATTGAGTAACACAAGAGCAATTGCCAAGTGTCCTTGGATTTGGCTCCCACAAAGCTTTGGGTTACCAATGCCATTTGCTATTTACAAAAGCATCAAATATTAGTTAGCTGCAGCGCTTCTACTTGTAAGATTTTCAAGAACTCATCTCTGTCAAAGTTCACCATAATGTTGGTTCCATTGTGGTCCCAACTCTGTTTGTCTTCTGTTTTTGTTTTTCTGATTTTTATTTTTGAGACAGTATCTCACTCTGAAGCCAGGCTGACTTCAGACTCACAGCAATCTTCCTACCTCAGCTTCTTGAGTGCTGGGGTTACAGGCATGAGCCATCATGCCTGGCTCTCAACTTCTAAACTCTTATTTAAGTGACTGTGGTGGTTTCAATGAGAATGTCCCCCATGAGCTCCAAGTATTTGGACATTTTGTCCCCAGTTGGTGGCACTGTTTTGGGAGGTCTTGGAAGTTGGGGCTGTGCTTGAGGAAGTACATCACTGGGGGCTGGCTTAGAGAGTTCTTAAGCCTTGCCAGATCTCCAGTTACTTTCTTGTTTTCCCTGTGCCTGCTTGAAGATGTGAGTGCTTAGCTTCCCTCTTCCTCCAGTCACCTCTGCTGCCATGCTTGGAACCACAAGCACAAATCCTTCTATAAGTTGCTTTGGTCAGCATTTCTCTCACAGCAACAGAAAAGTAACTAATACAGTGATTTCATACAACTTGAAAATTACCCAGTGCATCTCTTTCTTTACATCCAATTATTTAGAAATCTAACATTTGATAATAAATTGTGTTGGGAAATCTCTGAGAATACAGGGAATCTTTTACTGCTACTTTGTGTGCAGAATGATCCAATTTTCAAAGACAATATGATAATGTTTTCCTTTGTCTGTCTGTATGTGGGGGGGGGACTCATACTACAGACCACACCACCAGGCCCAGCTTGACTTTTTAAAAACTATTAATTATTTTTATCATATGTATATGAGTGTATTGCCTGCATGTATGTAAGTACACCAGTGTAGTGCAATGCCCACAGAAATCAGAAGAGGGTGTTAGATTCCCCTGGAACTAACATGGTTGTTAGCCACCATGTGGGTGCTGAAATTGACCCAGGTCCTCTGTGAGAGCAGCCAGTGCTCTTAACTGCTGAGCTATCTCTTCAGCCCCATGATATTTTTTAAACAATTCCATTTATTCTTTGTGAGAGACAGGCTTGAGCCTAGGGTGAAAGTCTTATTGACAGACATACAGCAGGCCCGAGGCAACAGCCAGACCACTGGAGCCACAAGGAACACCTTGTGACATTTGCTCCCATTGGCAGATCATGAGACTGATGCCTAGAGCTCACCACTCCCTAATCACCACCCTTGGAATTCCAAATTGCAACACTTAGATATTGCAACAGTCAGTGTCACCTAGTTTCCAGAAATCCAGGCTCTGTAATCTGAAACCCAATATGCTAATGAGGCATCCTACTCACTATTCTGTGATAGGATGTTAAGTCTGTTATGCTAATAGGATGCTGAGACTATTATGCTAATAAGGTATCCTACTTTCTGTGCTGTGATTGAACCACTACCCCATATAAGCTTGTGCCTTCCTGCAATAAAGCAGACCTGTGTTACTGAACCTGGTCTCCTGTGTCTGAATGTGGCTTTGCTAACACAGTCTCCTCACCAGCCCTGGGGTCCGGGACCGGGCAGAAGCAGCGACAACAGGAGGCAGTACAAGGCGAGCAGAAGAGCGGCCTCAGCCCGTGAGAATGAAGGAGTGGCCGCCACTGGCAGTGACCACAACTCTTTAGCCCAGGAGTCCTATCTCTGGGAACTTATCCTACATTCGTACAGATGTCACATAATACAAAATAGTGTTCAAGCAGTGTTACTTATTTAAAGCATTTTCTGTAATAACGAAACACAGGTAACACAATTCAATTGTTCTTCTTTCAGAGATTAGTTCAATAAATTATGGCTCTACCCCACAATTGAATAGATAAGAATATAAAGAAGAGGGGAGGGCTCCTAACAAAAGTGAAATGTTTAACACTAAACATTTACATTACTTTTATATAAGAAAGGGCAGAAAATAATATTGATATTGATTGCAATTACAGAGAGAAATACAGGAGGATGAAGACACAGCCATAAACAGGAAGACAGCCATTGGAACTAGAGCGGGAGGTTGGAGTTAAGCTTCCTCAATCAAGAAAGACTTGGGACTACAGGAAGCTGAGAGAGTCTCTTCAGTCAAAATGTCAAAAGAAAGTATTTTTTCCTCCCCTGCACTGGAAATGGACCCAAAGCCAGAGACGACTTGTGGGAGCTTTGTCAGTGAATGCATCTGTGAGCTATGCCTGCAGAGAAATGTGGATCAGGCAGAGTTAGAAGCTGACTCTGAATGTCACTGTGATGGAGGCTTGGCCCATTCTACAGGGTGCTCTGAGCTGGGGTGGCTCTCCAGCATCACAGCCAACAGAAGCAAGGGAGACAAACCTTTGAATTTTTATACCAGGCAATCGCTAATCATCGGACGGCCTCTGGAAAGGGGTATAATGACTAAAACAATGCCCTGCTGCACTGAGCTGTCAGTGATGTTAGGACTAAATGCACCTAAAGGATTTCACCTTGGCCCCAGTATGGGCTCTCTGGGTGAGCTATTGCTGCTTCATTCTGTAGATGAAAAGTCAAGGTTCAAGGACACTATTAAGTGCTCTGTCCAAAGACACACACTGGGCATAGAGGGACCCAGGAACCTAACCTAGGGTTTCTCACTTTGAAATCTCACACTTTTCTCCTATCTTCATGAGCTACATAGTTTTTAATGTGCCTTATTTTCCTGTAAATTATTTTAGTAGTCTTTGCACTTGGTTTGCAACTCAGTCAACATGGGCAGTTTTGGAGAAAAGATAAAGGTCTGATATGCTTAGATGGAGAAAATGAAATCAAAAGCTGTGTTGTATACAGTCGTATTTTCTTTAGGCTATCATCACATAATGCAACAGATTTTTATAAGTGTTTTAATTCTTTTGTGCATGCTGAAATAGGATTCTTTGACATTAACTACTGGTGAGAAAAATTTTTCCTCATATAAAAAATGTTTCAGGACTAGGGATGTAGCTCAGTTGGAAGAAAGCCACGAGCCATGCACAGTATGCTCAGTTGGGAGCCTGCACGAGACTCTGGATTTGCTCTTCAAGACCACACATACTGGGTGTGGTGGTGCAAACCTGTAATCCCAGCACTTGCAAGGTCAAGACAGGAGATCAGAAGTTCAAAGCCATCCTCAACTACATAGCATATTGG